CCAGGGAGGTTGCTGGAAGGCTTAGGTCTCTGTGTTTGCCTTCTAGCACTCCTGTAAAAAAGGCACAGGGATTGGGCATTAGGTGGCCTTGTGGCTCAGATCCGGAGGATGGAGGCAGACAAGGTAAGAGGCAGAGCAAAGACCACACAGCAAGCTGGTACCCGGACCCCTGAAAAGTACCCAAGCCCCAGCAGCAAATATGAGCATTGTTCCCATTGCTGACTTTTCTCAACCATTCAGCCATTGCTTCATTCCATAGAAATTTATCGGACACCTAACATAATCCAGATGCTGCAATAAAATTAAGTTTTGTCAGAGCTCTTTCACAAACACTAATCTCCCTAAACACTAACCCAAGGTAAAATAAGAAAGTCTTGGTTCTTTCTAGGCCCAGTTTAATTGTTTTACAGCCTGGTTTTCATGTGCCGGGTGCCACTCCTTCCAACACTGTGACATTCCATAATCATTGAACTGATTTATTCTCAGAGAACAGATGTCCACATATATTTGCTGCTATTAGCAATGCATTTATTCATTTATTCATTCATTCATTTGGAAAACATTTTTCAAGTATTTCATGCTACTGAGTTCACTCTGGTGGGGAGAGCAGAGTTACTAACGGGAGGAGGACAGACATGTGGCTCCGAAACAGAGAATTAATATCTTTTTGTTGTCTAGCACTTGACATCTGCCATCTTGTTACAGTTCCCCTGCAGCCCAATGAGGGAGTGCTGGGGGCCTCTTTGTAGAGAGGAGAAAAAAAAAAAAAGAGGCTCTGAGAATTTAGGTAAGTGCCCCAGGGCCCCATAGCTGCAAGCCAGCGACAGACATACCCAAAGAGATTCCCACACAAAGCAGGTATGTGAACAGAGGAAGAGGAGGAAGCAAAGGTGCTGGGTGGCTGGAAAATCTGTTAAACTCCTACTGGGCAGCCAGTCAAAGCTCCTGTCGAGAAAGGAAGGAAGTTCTCCTACCAGGCGAAGGAGGATGGCGATGATGGAGCCATTCTCACAGGTGTGCTCCTGATCTCTCATCATCCTGGGGGGGGCTTGTACTGCCCTTAGGGTCTGCAGGGGTGCTAGTAACTAGAGGGAGCACAATTGGAGGTTGAAATGGAGGCCAGAGTGGCACCATAGTTCTCTGCTTTGTAACCAAAGCAGAATGGAGGACGAAAGCCTTTGGAATAGGGCATTCAGTTGAAGACAGGGGGTGCAGGGGGAGACAGAACCCTGTACTCCACTGGGGACAGTAGCGGCAGTGACAAAGAGGAAATAGCCCAAAGGATTGGGCCTGCCCTGGCAATCTCAAGGTCACCGCAGTGCATGTCCCAGGACCGCGCACAGACAAGGCTCCCAATTACTCATTAGCCAGCCTGGTGTTGGCCCCCACGTCCCTGTCCTTGGCCACAAACAGAGATGAAAGCCCGGCCGCCAGCTCTGGGAGGGGTGGCCTGATAGTTCGGTAGCTGTCTCAGTCACTGGCATTAGCAAAGCCTGGGACAGCCAAGACGGAGGGGAGGCTCGGCTTTCAAATACTTCTGCACCTTTCATGTCCCCCCTCCCTCTGTCCCCCTCACCCAAACAAACACAAGCCACAAAATCCGCAATTAGGGGATAGGGGACTTTAACAATTGGCTCCCAGGGCAAAGACTCCTTGAGCCAGCTTTGGCAAGGACATGCCAAGATGTGTTGATGAAAGGGAAAGACTCCTCCTGAAAGTCCTTTGACCAGACCCATGGAAGGGACGGCTCTATCCTTACCTCAAGTCTGAGGAAAAAAGCACCTTGGATTCAGGTTCAAGTGTACCCAAGCCATCTGGAGGCCTTAGTCCTACCTGGCCTCTGCCTCCCTAACCCTCCTCTCACTAAGGGGCTGTGAGTAGGTGCTCATGTGACCATGACTACCCTTACTTCTCCAAGCTTCTCCCACTCATCCCTCACCAATGGAGATCATACAAGTCTAGAAACATTCCCTGAAAGAATGCAGTTGGCCGCCATAATTCTCCACTACCCCACTCCCAGCCCAGCCCTGGAACCAACCATGTCACTCTGCTCGTCTTTGTCCACTGCCCCATAAAAGGAAATTGGAAAAATCCTACATGGAGACACTGAAGCATGGTAGGAAAGCATCAGCATTCAGAACTTCCAAAAGTCCTTGTTCTGGACTCCCAAGTGCCTTCTTGAATATTAGCTAATGGCAGCGAAACACCAGCGAGGGATAAATGGTCAGGGCAACAAGAAAGAAAAGAAGCAAGAGATTTCATCCATTCCGATTTCTCAGCCGTCAGGAAACAGTGACTCTCATGTGCCAGGCTCTGGTGGGAGATTGGGGTAAATACAAAGACCTGGCCCCTGATCTCCAGGAGTTCCTACACTTGGGAAAGAATAACGTATGTAAACAATAATTATAATGACGAGAGCTGCCATTTACTGAGCACCTGCTGAATGCTCTGTTTCTCACCGCAATCATGTAGGGTAGCACTGTCGCCCACCTTGACAAAAGAAGATGCTGCTGCTCAATGAGTGTCAGGTGGCAGGGCTGGGAGCCACCCCCGAATCTGGCAGGCATGACTTGGGTAGGAAGGAGAACATGCACTTGACACCTTCGAGCACCTGGCAACTTCCCTTTCACCTCACCTGGTGTCCTAGTTTGCTTCTCCTTTCGGCCCACCACACTTCTTTGCCATCCTTTTTGCTTCTCACCGTCCCTTACTCTGACCTTGGAATCTGGATCTGATCCCTACCTCTCTTGTCTTCTGTTGCCCCCACAGCTTAAATTTGTTCCTAGGGTTTCAGTCACCACCTATTGGCTTGGAATTTCCAAACCTGTATCTCTAGCTCAGACTTCACTTCATGCTCCAATCCCCCTCCAATCCCCAGGTCATTTCAGATACTTAATGCCACCTTGCCATTCTCGGGCTACTGTGTTCAGGATCTCTTTGCCCCGTGCTTGGATTTTAATGGCCAGAATCCACCGTGACATTCTATTCTCTTCTATACCTAAGTCCTCTTGAGTCCTCTTCCTCTATATTTCTTTTGTCAGTCACATCACTATCTTCATTCAAAAATCTTCCGTGGCCCCCTAACACTTAAAGAATATTTCTAGATGCCCATGGGGCACTCTGTGTTCTGATGCTACTACCTCTTCTCTACCTTCCTCTTCTCAGATCCTGCACCCCAGGATGCCTCACCATCCCCCCAGTGCATCTCAGTGCTTCTGCTCCCTGTGCCCTCCCGGCCATCACTTCCTCTGGACTCTTACCTCCCTTCAGGCTACAGCTAGAGCAGGTGTCTTTTATGCAGCTCATCCTGGTGCCCACAGCTGGATGCGGGTCCTCTCTCCCTGAATTCCCATCGCACTTGGTTATTTCATGTCCTTGGGTTTGGGGGCTTTGCTTTGCCTTGCATTTTGGTGCTGGGGAAGGAGTTTGGGCTGTGAAATTCAAATGAGTATGAATTCTGGCTCAGCAACTTCCTAGCTGTATGACGTTGGACCCTTTATTAGGAACCCTTCTTTCTCCCATCTGTAAAATGGGCAACAGAATATAACCTTGCTGTGAAAGTTAGAAATAACACACATGAAAACACCCCACATGAGCAAGTGGTCAAACAAGAGGCAGTACTTGTTAGCATGATGTGTTTATTTCTTTCCCACTAGAACATAAATCCCTCAAGATTTAGCTGACCAACTTCTATTTGTTTTTATATCAACCTTGGTCATCAGCACAGAGCCAGGAATATAGAGCTCTCTGAAGCAATGTTAGCTGAATGCTGACTGAACTGGAGAAATCAAGACTTTCTCTGTCTCCTTTACTGCTGCCCGGTCTGTCTGAGCCCTGCCACCCTGGAGTCAGAATCCTCCGAGACCACAAACCCAGCCCTTCCCAACCTCTGCCTCCATTTCCCCACCCCAAAGTGCCTCGTTATCCACCCACATGCCGTACACATAAGATGCCATTTGTAAGAACCCAGCTGTAGGTGGAAATGAATGTTGAGAGCTTCTCAATGGAACAGGAATCATAAATCACTCCAAAGTTGGGATGAAACCCTAGGAAGCCGTGCCATGCAAACCACAATTCCCTAAACCTCTGTACAAAGTGGCCTTGAAACCCCTGGAGACCTGGGAAGACATTCCTTTCTCTCTGTTGCTTGGCACTTGGCTGTTCTAATTCTGGCTGAACCCCAGCAGCCCACAGGCATGTAAAAATGAAAAGCCTCACCACCCATGTCCTAGATGAGAATGCCTTCTGGGCCCCGTGTCACTTTGTCCCTGCATTAAAACCCTGTGGGTCTTTAGGTGACAAATAGAGAAAGCGAGGGTGACTAGACTCTCTGGGTGGCTTCGTTATCCCATCCTCCTCGCCTGCTTCTGGTGGCTTTTCCTGAAATCGAGGCCGGAGACTGCCCGTATCTCAGCTACGGGTGACCACAGTGAACCCCAATCTCCGGCCTTTGCGGGTTGTGCTAGGGAATGCTCCAGGCCAAGGCCCCTGAGCCTGGGAGGGAAGAACACTGGTTGCAGATGCGAGCTTGCGAGAAGCTTTGATGTTCCGAGAGCAGAATCGGGAAGCGTGGGAAGTGAGACTTCTGTTCCCTGGAGCTCCCACAAGGCAAAACCCTTCCGTTATCTTATAGGCCTGAGCATAGCCTCAAGGTGCTGGCTCAAGTCTGTCTTGGCCCAGAGTAAATCAGGCCCGAACCAAAGAATGCACTTGAATCAAAGTGGAAAATTAGACGCTGTGCAGGAGAAAGCTGTCCTCTCCAAAATATATATGCATCAAAGTGTACCCCTGTCTAGCTGGGACAGGAGCCATCAAAATGCAAATGTGGGCCTTGAGAATGCTAATGCTGGAAGTGGAGAACAATACCGAGACAGACTTCTCGGGGCCAGGGAGAGGGCCCCAGGGCAGGATGTGGGAGCCGAGTGGGGGGCAGGGATGAAAGGGGTAAAGGAAGCCGTGTGAGAGAGCCTGGAGATGAGAAAACAGCAGGAGTCAATTGAGGCTGAATGACCGCGGGGGCAAGCCTGGAATAGGGGAGTGCTACAGAGGACGGGTCAGAGGACCTGCCGCTGACCGCTGACCTGAGGCTGCGTGCCCAGGAAAGAGGAGGGTGAGTTCAGGGAAATTTCTCTGAGCGGCAGCCCAGCGGGGTTGGAGAGTCAGGACAAGCCTGGAGTCCCGAGGCTTGGACTTGAGGTCAAGGCCTGGAGAAGCAGACAGAGGGATCCGTGTTTCTGTAAAGGCAGTGAGGCCAGGAGACGTGCTCTGCTTGGGTTCAACTGGCATGGGAAGCACTCCATGCGGGCGCTTGAAAAGGGGCTGCGAGCGGGGTGACGGGGACAAAGCCAGGCTTGCAAAAGCTGCTTCCCTGGGTTGCCTCTGAGAGCCCTTCCTCTCTGCCTCACTTTGATATCTATAAAGTGGTGCTGGCTGGAGCTGGAAGACTGGAGAAAAGTTAAAGCACAGCCTGGCACAGGGTACTGCCCTCATTGTAGATTAAGAACTGAGGCTCAGGAGGGTTTACTAATGTGTGTGCAAACCCCAGACAGCAGGGGAGAGGTAGGAACGGGATTCTGACTTGGATCTGTCAGTCCTGAGTCAGTCACGGAGGCTGTACTACCTGCCTGTCCCGGTGGTGGCATGAAAACAGAATCCTAAGGGGGGGCCCTGGGATCCCAGAGAGTCAAAAGAGCTGTCAAAGCTAACAGCCCATGCAAAGGAAGAACCCTGGGGGCCTTGAGTGATGGTGGTAGAAAAAAAAAAATCAATACTAGGAGGGCTGGGACACTTGTTTTTGTTTGGGGGCCTGTTCACTCATTTCCCAACAGTGTCTACTCGAATCCTGGCCCACAGTTAAAGCTGAATAAAACACTGTGGGACAACTGTCTCCCCATCCAGACTATAAGTTCCTGGAAGGCAAGGATTTGTGCCCCATACTTGTTTCATAGCCTCCAGGGGCTTGCACAGCACTCTGGGCGGTCATTGAATGGGTTCATTCACTGAAGAGTGTCCCTAGTGCCAGGCTCTGTGCTAAGCAGTGGGAATATGCGAATGAGTGTATGATCCCCGCCCTTGGGTCACTTGTCTTAGTCTGGTGAATGAATAAAAGAAAGGAAGAATGAATGGAAACTGGCCACTCTGCTAATTGCTTTATGAACTTGTAGAGGGCCCAGGGATAGACCTCTGAGATACCCTGCTTTCTCTTGGGCATCAGACCCGAGCCATGCCAGTGGACTTGGCCACATTGAGCTCTGGTAAGTGGCTGCAGTACCCAGCTCAAAGCTCTGAGCAAGTACTGTCTTTACAGGTAAGGGGCCGCACCACTCTGCCATACCATACACACTCCACGCAGAGAGCTTCCAAGAGAGATGACTGGATACCCAGAGCTGTTTATATCCTCTCACCTAGATCGTCCTGGGGCTGAGGACTGCCAAGGGCCAGGGGCCAGGGATGGTGGAAGCTGGGGGAAACTGGGAATTTCTCTGGTGTGAAGCTAACTGGTCCCCAGGGCAGTCTACTAAGGAATCACTGGGATTTCTACCGTGGAGAGCCAGCCAAAAGCTCTGTGACTCAGAGCTGGCTCCCTAAAGATCTGCCTTTTCAGGTGGAGACATCTTCCTTCAGAGGTCAGTGGAAGGGTTCAATGAAAATGCTGGATAGCGGGGCTCCTGGATGGCTTAGTCGGTTGGGTGTCCAACTTTTCATTTCGGCTTGGATCATGATCTCACAGTTCCTGGGATGGAGCCCAGGGTCGGGCTGTGGGCTGACGCATGGAGCCTGCTTGGGATTCTTTCTCTCCCTGTCTCTCAGCCCCACGCCCGCTTGTGTGCACATGCACGTTCTCTCTCAAAATAAATAAATTAAAAAAGAAAGAAAGAAAGAAAGAAAGAAAGAAGAAAGAAAGAAAGAAAGAAAGAAAGAAAGAAAGAAAGAAAGAAAGAAAATGCTGGATCTCATAAAGGAGGACAGCTTGCAAGATATTCAAGAACACATTCTTTCCTGTAGACATTGCTTATATCGAACGGGGTTAACCACAAGGAGCAAATCAGGCATTCCTTCTTCAGTGGAAACACCACAGCCTGAAGCTCCCAGGAACAACCAACAGGAGGGGGCAAGGTTGGCTGGGGGCCCCCGGGCTGTGACTGGCAGGATTTCTGTGAAATGGGTCTGTGTCCAAAGGGGCCTAGTGTGAAATGGAAAATGCCCTGTTCACCACACCCTTCCCCACCAACTCTGCCTTCCAGGAGTCCACACTGCAGGCTCCGAACTTCCATTGTGTCAGCCACAAGGGTGACCAGTCCGTGTCCTGCCAGCCAGGTTAAGGGAAAAGCCAAGACACCCTCCCAAAGATGGCACCCAGAGAAGAGGACTTATGATGACTTATGATTGATAGGATGGGAGAGTGACAGACCATATGGGCAGACCCTACATGACTTACCCCCCCCCCCCGCCCCGCCCAGACCCATGTGGCTGCCCCTAGGCCGGCATGAATGACAAAGAGTACAAGCAAATAGAGACCAAGTCTACTGCCAGTGTTAGGTACAGAAAGGGCTGGATTTTACAATCTGGCGTGTGGGCTTTTCTGGGAGAAACTAGGGGGGAAAAATGAGAAACTGGGCTTTAAAGACAGATGAATGTTGATGAATTCTCTTCAGTTTGTCAGCCTCTCTCTTCTCGACTGTCTTCACCTTAACCCAAGTTCCCATCGTCTCTCACTTCCTAGCCTGTCCCTTACTTCTGCTCTGTCTCTTCCTTTCCCCTTGCCTCACCGTGTAATACTTTTTAAATAAAAACTGAAACATATAATCCTCATCCTAAAGTCCTCCAGTGGCTACCCATAGCTCTCAGATCACGGCTGAAACCCCCGCAGCATCTTGGCCCTCCTGCCCTTTCTCCTCTCTCCTGCATCCATGCTGGCTTTCTCTGCTTCCTTGAACATTTGTGCGGGAGCTTCCTGCCACAGGATTTTTGCACGCTGATGTGACCATGCTTTAGTACCCAGTTCAGTTGGTAATTATGTGTGTGATTGTTTGATCAGTAACTGTTTAATTGGACCAATTGATGATTGTATCTGTCTTTGTGCCATTGGACCTGTCCTTAAGCTCTCTGAGGACAGAGACCACAGCTAGTTTTGCTCTTTACTGTAGTCCCAGTGTTGGACAGAGTGCCTGCACATCAGATGATCAATAAATGTATGCTGAATAAGTGAAGTAATGGAGCAGTCCATTTCATAGATGTTTTCTTGCTGGAACGTATTCAGGCCAGCTGAGGAGCCTGGGGCTTGGAATAGCAGTGACTTGCTAGAGATCACATGGCTTGGCTACCAAGAGGAGCTGGGACTTAGTCCTGAGTATTATCTCCCTTCTCCTGTATGTAGTTTGACTCGGCCACTTTGTGGTGGTGGTGGCCGCGGCACACACGTGTGCAAGCATGCGTGCGTGTCTGTTGGGGGTGGGGAGCAGATGGCAGAGTCAGCTTTTAGATCACAACTAAGGGAAAAGTATCCAGAAAAGTCTCTTGCCATGGATAATGCTTCCCTGCTTCAGCATCTTTCTCCTGTAGAAATAACCATGGTTGGCTCCCCGACCTCATTAAGAGTCCAAAGCAACAGTATAGATGAAAGCAGTAAATTAAAAAACAAACAAACAAAAACTGTCAGGTTTGGGAATGCATTTTTTTTTCCCAATTAAAAAAAAAATAGTCTAAGCCTACTTCATATCAGAATAGACCCTGAAATCAACAAAATATCAGCATAGATAACCAAAATATTTTACTGAATGGACAGAGTTATGCTGCTCTTGTAGATAGGGCTGCAGCTCTGGTGTCTGGGTTTATCCTCACCAGTAAGCTCTGAAGGGAACTCTGCTGCTTACCAACCTGCTGAGAGCTCCTAATAGGTGCTCCATAAATATCTGCTGAAGAGTATATATATATATATATACATACAATGGAGTATTACTCTGCAATCAAAAAGAATGAAATGTTGCCATTTGCAACTAAGTGGATGGAACTGGAGGGTATTATGCTAAGCAAAATTAATCGGAGAAAGACAAATATATGACTTCACTCATAAGAGGACTTTAAGATACAAAACAGATGAACATAAGGGAAGGGAAGCAAAAATAATATAAAAACAGGGAGGGGGACAAAACATTAGAAACTCTTAAATATGGAGAACAAACAGAGGGCTGTTGGAGGGGGTGTGGGAGGGGGGATGGGCTAAATGGGTAAGGAAGCTACTCCTGAACTACATGCTAACTAACTTGGATGCAAATTAAAAAAAAAAAAAAAAAACACATTAAGTTTTAAAAAAGTGTCTGTTGAATGAGTAAGTGAACAGAACTTTCACTGGGCTGGAAGAGTCCTAGATGGCAGAAGCGAAGCCACAGCACCCTAAGAGATATGGCCATCTGCTCTAGCATTTATCTGCCACCTCTTAGAAGACCTATTATTTTGTAATACAAGTGCCTAGCACAAGCAGAAAGCCAGAGACGGATTGAACATTTTTTGGCTATTTGAATGTCGCGCCGGCAAGTTACCTCACTTGTCTGAGTTTCTGTAGCCTCATCTGTTAAATGAGTACAATGATTCTTTACTCCTGAAGATAAATTTTTTTTTAACGAATTCAACATAGTATTTATTGAGTGCCAGGCGCTATGCTAGGTGTACAACAGAAGTGGCTTCTGTCCTTTCTAGCGGAGGAGACATTAAGCAAATAAATATAAATAAACTTATAAAATTACAGTTTTGGACATGTGCTACCATGGCAAACCACAGGGTGCCACAAGAGAGGATGGCAGTGGGACCTTGTTCAGATCAGGGTGCAGGGAGGGCCTAAGAAAGCACCGTTTATTCTGAGCCCTGAAGCAGGAGCTGGGAGCTAGCCCAAGGCAAGGTCGAAATTGCAGGTAACAAGAATAGCACGTGCAAAGGCCCGGGGTAGGAAAGAACTGGGGCCGGCAGAGAGGATTGCAAGCAGTCCAGGAGAGGTTGACGGGAAGAAGACCTGATTGGGGAAGGAGACTGATACTGAAAAGGTTGTTAAGGAGGGGACGCTCAGGATTCCATTCACTTGTCAAGAAAACTCTGGGGCTGCTGGGTGGAAGACGGGGACAGAGGAACAAAGAACCAAAATTCCTCTCTCGGTGTTGAGATCAGAACGCCAATCTCAGGGCGGAGGGCTTCACCGATGATCAGGCCCAAAGCTCCCACGTTAAGGAGAAAAGACAAGAAGTGCAGTTGGGAAGAGACCTTAGCCGGGATGGCACGTCATCCCCGCCTGCCCTCCGATCAGTCCTTCCAACCTCTCTCGCTCTATTCACGGTTCTGGGGTTCCTGACGCCCGCAGGCGGGGGGGGGGGGGGCGGGCCCCGGGCACTGACTGGGGTACCGGAGCCCCGAGGCAGCCTGGACCCGGCCGGGCCCAGCGGGAGCTGCCTGCGAGCCAGGGGTCCCCTAGCGCTGCACGCAGCCAGCTCCGGGCGGCTCACATTCTGGAATGGAAACTTGGAGCTCAAAGGCCCTGAGGCACCCTCCGGTGTAGGTGGCTCAGCCCTTTCTTTTTACTTCCCTCCTAGGCCTTACCTGCCTAAACAAACAGCCAGAGCCTCCCACCCGCTGCACCCCCGCCCCTGGGACAGGAAACAAGCAGTGACAGCTACCCGCCCGCGCCTCCCTTGCGGACCCCGGCGCGGCCAGGCTAGCAACCCGGCTAAGCGGCGCTCCGATTGGCTGCGCCCTGCTAAGCGGCGCGACGCTCGTCCAATTGGAGGCCGGGCCGGGCGGCCGCGCCGGGAGTCCTCGCCGCCGGGAGGCCGTGGGGAGCGAAGTTTTACATGCCTGTGGTATTTGCTCAGAGGGGCATGACCACTTTGGGCAAGTCTTTAAATGTGAGTCAGCTTTCGGCCGATCCCTGGGAAAAATTCCTTCGGTGTTGTCAGGCAGGGTTCGCTAGCTGCAGCTTTTTTTTTTTTTTTTTTAACAATTCAAAAGGGATAATCCTACTGAATGGGGAAAGGCATTCGGACCCTGTCCCTGGCTCTCCCGAGAAGGCGCCGGGGGCAGGGCTTGGGGGCCAGTCACCTCCACTGCGGGGCGGGAGCACCCCGAGGTGGCAGGCCCCCAGGAGCTGGTTTCCAGGAGGGCGAGGGCACCTGCCCTCTCTTCCCTACGCCCCGTGTCCCCGTGTGCATCAGGGCACGCGGGGGCCAGAGGGCGCATAGAATGCAGTCGCAATAGTGCCCCCTGGAGTTGTGCGGCATACCCGCCTTAACCTGGGAAACGCCCGGTCGCCTGCTTCCCTTTCTTCCTTTGGTTCTCTTCCATCTCGCTGTGCTTCTGGTCTTGGACCCCGCACTTAACAGCTGTGTGATCTTAGATCCTCTCTCCACCTCTCTTCAGTTTCAGTGACCTCGTTGGCAATGTCAAAGGCAGAAGGCAGAGGAAGTGAACTGGTCTGGGAGTGCGGAAACTTGGGGGTTCTCCTAGCTTAGTTTCCCTAATTGATTGGGCAAGTCACTTCTGTGCTCCCAGCCTCAGTTTCTGCATCGGTCAGATGGGGGAGGTGTTCTAAAAGAGACCTTAGGGGCGCTCTGGTTCTACGAGCGGGTTCCCCAGCCCGTCCTTGTAGCCGCCTCCTGGAGCTTGTGCGCTAGGAGTAGACCAAGCCCTGTGGCCCGCCAGTCTGCCCCTCTAGTGCCCCCAGTCTTGGCTCCCCACATATCATCTCAGAGACTCTCAGCAGACAGGATGGGAAGTACTGAGGAGAAAAAAAGACCAAAAAAGGCTGAGGGCTGAGGCAAATGAGCAGGGACTGGAGGGATTTGTGTGCAATTTGATTTTAAATGAACATCTTGTGCAGAAGGAGAGGCAATTTGGCACCTGTTGCTGGTGAGTTAATAACTTAGGCACTCTTGGTAATAAGGATACAGTACTGTGAAGACCACATTAGCTCATGTGGCAGCAAATTATAAGAACGGTTGAGAAAGACACTGTCCTGCCTCTGCCTGGGAATTTTGTAAAGCTAAGGTAGGCACCACACATCTTCAGTTGAGGGGCTTCAAAATTGAGACAGAATGGAACTTAGAGCCCTCTGAATCCTGAAGAACATAGGACAACTGGATTGTTCTAGGTGTGAAAAGTGTGGTTTGATAAAAAGAGCATTTCACTCTGCTGCTAACCCAACGGGTGTGACCTTGGGTGAGTCACTTGCCTGTCGACAGTCTTCATTTGCTGCAGGCTGAGGGATTAGACTGACCACTTAAAGACCCCTCCAGCTATGACACCATAATTAAATGGAATAATGTGTGAATAATTGTTTTGAAAAGTACGGAGCACTGGGAGTCTTTCTGTTGTTATTTATGTAGAGATAAAAATGACCTGAGAGTTCAATAAGCTATGCAACTGGTTGTAAATCAGGACATGCACTGCCCGCCATCTTGAGACTGCAACAGGGCATTTGCTTGGCAACAGGGTTTGCTGTGGCCTGTGAATCAGTATTTTTTTATTCCGTTCCTGCTGTCAGCTCCTATCCTGGTTTGGTAGCCAAACCAGCTGCTGCTCTCATTCTGCCTTGGTTTCTCCATCTCACCTTGCCTTTTCCAACCTCCAGTGATTGGGATGGATTGTGTTTTGCCTTTGGCAAGCTTGGCTTTCCTAGAAACAGAACTGCCCATCTGGAGGAAGAAAAACTAGAACCAGATTTGTTTGCCACCACTAAATTTGACCAGGCCCCTTATTTCTTTTCTTTCCTTTTTTTTTTTTTTTAAGTTTATTTATTTTTTTTTTTAAATTTTTTTTTTCAACGTTTTTATTTATTTTTGGGACAGAGAGAGACAGAGCATGAACAGGGGAGGGGCAGAGAGAGAGGGAGACACAGGATCGGAAACAGGCTCCAGGCTCCGAGCCATCAGCCCAGAGCCCGACGTGGGGCTCGAACTCCCGGACCGCGAGATCGTGACCTGGCTGAAGTCGGACGCTCAACCGACTGCGCCACCCAGGCGCCCCAAGTTTATTTATTTTGAGAGAGAGAGAGAGAGAGCGAGAGAGCGAGAGCACGAATGCACAAACAGGGGAGGGATGGAGGAGGGGCAGAGAGAGAGGGAGAGAGAGAATCCCAAGCAGGCTCTGTGCTATCAGCACCGAGCCTGGCACTGGGCTCGATCCCATGAACCAATAGATCATGACCTGACCTGAAATCAAGAGTAAGAAGTTTAACCAACTAAGCCACCCAGATGCTCCAGACCATGCCCCCTTTTTCTATTCTAATCTTCCCATTCTCCTGGGGGTTCTGACCTTTATGGAGATGAGGGGCTGGGGAGTAAATAGATTAAAGATAGAGAAAGAATAACGCAAGGGCCAGTCATAAAGGAAAGGAAAAGACAAAGGTTGTTTTTTTCTTTTTTTTGTTATTTGATTTTTCTTCATCATAGTAGTGTACTTCAGTCCCCATCTCCCACCCACCTCCCCTCTGGTAACCATCAGTTTGTTTTCTATACTTAAGAATCTCTCTCTTGGTTTGTCTCTCTCTCTTTTTATTCCTCTGCTCATTTGTTTTTTTCTTAAACTCCACATATGAGTGAGATCATATAGTATTTGTCTTTCTCTGACTCATTTTGCTTAGCATAACACCCTCTCGTTCCATCTGTGTCATTGAAAATGGCAAGATTTCATCCTTTTAATGGCCGAATAATATTCCATTGCATGTAACATACCACATCTTTATCCATTCACTTGTCAATGGACACTTGGGCTGCTTCCACAGTTTGGCTATTGTAAATAATGCTGCAGTAAACATAGGGATGAATGTATCCCTTTGAATTAGGTTTTGTTTTGTTTTGTTTTGTTTTGTTTTGTTTTTTTGTGTTCTTTGGGTAAATACCCAGCAGTGCAATTACTGGATCATAGGGCAGTTCTATTTTTTAATTTTTTGAGGACACTCCATACACCGTGGCTGTACCAGTTTGCATTCTCACCAACAGTGCAGGAGGGTTTGCTTTTCTCCACATCTTCACCAACACTTGTTTCTTGTGTTGTGCTTTTAGCCATTCTGACCGGAGTAAGGCTATATCTCATTGTGGTTTTGATTTGCATTTCCCTGATGATGAGTAATGTTGAAGATCTTTTCATGTGTCTTCTTTGGAGAAATGTCTGTTCATGTCTTCCTGCCCATTTTTTTTATTGGATTATTTGTTGGTTGTTGACTTGTTTCAAGGGTTGTTTTTTTCTTAAATGAATTCTACCAATTTAAAAATAGAGAAGGGTATCTAAACTATGAGAAGGAGGCTCACATGATCACTACATGCTATGTAAAAAGAGAATCTCTAAAGACCATGGGAGCCTAGTGGAGAGTTTGGTTCTGCTTGGGCAGATCAGGGTATCCATTAAGGGAGGTGACATCTGGGATACTTCTTAAGGATGGAGAGAAATTTTTTCTGCAGTGAGAGTGGGGCACGAGCAAGGCAGAGAGATGGGAGAATATTGTCATGGGCCTGGGTCCCCTAGGAAGATCAGATGCCAGGTGTGTTGGGAATTATGGGGTGCTTGGATGAATATGGCAGAATTGAAACTAGAAGATAAAGACCATTATAAATGGCCTTTGCCATGTTAAATAATTTGAACTTTATTTGGTAGGAAATGGAGAGCAGTTGCAGGCTTTTAAAATAGGTAGTGAAAATTAGCAGTGAAAAGCATTGTTCAGACTTCAAGTTATACAGTGAAATTCAGGTCATGGACAACATTCCAAAAATAGAATGGATGGGTATAGAATGGAATATAAAATGTCAAAATTCATGCATAAGCAGTGAGTATTGTTTCACAAAATAGATGTATTTGTATGTGTTTGTGTGTGTGTTCTAGGTCATGATATAAAATATTATTATCTTATAATAATAAATATTTTATATTTATTTTTATATTAAATAATAAAATATTATTACTAAAGCGGGTCATGGTTTAAAAAGTCTGATATCCATTGCATTTGCAGACTGCATCAAGGGAGGGCAGCCTGGAGGTGGAGGGAGACAAAGTGCTTGTGAACAGGAGAGGGGACCTGCTTTCCCCCCTACTTCAAGTTCTTGAGAAGGAAATTGCTTATCTTTTGAAAAGAGTTAACTGATCTCTTCAAGGCCTCCTCCACAGAAGAAAGGTAATTATATTTGCCCCGCAGAGTAGTGAAGAGATCTATTGAAGTATTCGGTGCCGTGCTTCATTGGCAGGGCACTGCCTAACAGTGCACATAACAGGACCGGTAGTTAGAATTTGGTGACTTCAAGTCTCTGTCACAGACCCACATAGTCCTGGTACACATCATGATCCTCTGGCTTAAAAGCCATGTTTTTTCCCCCCATTCTTCCAGTGACACATTATGTACTTACTATAGCCAGCAGTGGGGCCAACAGATGTATACAACTACCTGATATCATATGACCGGTACCCAGGTATGAATTCAGTGAAAATGTCAGACGAGTAATGGCCTTATATTTAAAGCAATCAATAAGACTATTTCATAATGTCCCATGGTCAGTAACACCAATGTTGTAACAGATCTGAGTGTAGAGAAGCCCCTTGGGGATAACTAGCCCCAAAATGATGCCATCAAAGCACATCTCCCCCTTTGCTGGCCTCAGAAAAACTGAGGCACCACTGACTATAAGCCCTATGACATACCCATTGCTCCAAAACTGACTCTAAGAGTCTATGTTTGCCCTTCCTCAGGCAGCCTTACATGCAGTGGGGGCCCATTTGCTTTCCAGAGACCAGCCGTGTAGAGAATGTTGCTCCCTTGCAACATGGTCTAATCTATTGTTTTTTTTTTTTTTCAGGTGACCGACACTGTGCCCAGTTTGATGACACAGTGCACACACCCATGTCCTCACCTTCCTTAAACCAAACCCTATGCATATGGTGCAGATACCAGTTCATTTACATAACTCCAAACACACAGCCTCTTGGTTACACCTTCAAGGCAAATATACCCACCCCTTTCATTCTTCCGACTGCATATCCTTCCTATCTGAGCTGGGACTTTTTCCGGATCCTTTGTCCCTTGCTCCTGACTGCTACTAGATCTGTAATAGCAAGAGCACCTTACCATGTTCTAATACCACTATGTGCCGAGCCCTATACTTCATACAATCAGCAAAATTCCAAGAGATATTATCTCTCTTTTACAGATAAACTGAGACTCGGCAACTGAAAAATTTCACATCTAGTTAATGATCAAGTTGAGTTTCAAAATCAAGTTTTTCAAGATCCTTTGACCATCCTTTGACCCCTGAGATACACTACTTCCCCTGATTCCCTTCAATATTCTCCTTCCACAAGAGCTAGGAATACCTTCTCCCTTCTTCTCTTTCCATTCTATGTTCAAGAAACCATGAAAACCCACTAACTCTTTTAGAGAGAAGTTCTTTTTTTTTTTTAATTTTTTTTTTCAACGTTTATTTATTTTTGGGACAGAGAGAGACAGAGCATGAATGGGGGAGGGGCAGAGAGAGAGGGAGACACAGAATCGGAAACAGGCTCCAGGCTCCGAGCCATCAGCCCAGAGCCTGACGCGGGGCTCGAACTCACAGACCGTGAGATCATGACCTGGCTGAAGTCGGACGCTTAACCGACTGCGCCACCCAGGCGCCCCTAGAGAGAAGTTCTAAATGAGATTTTGTTTTGCATTGTGACTCCTACGGTTGGAGAGTTTCTAAAAGTTGTATGTCTAGACTCCTACCTCTTGACAGACTTCCCTGGCTGTGAGAGAAGATTGTTTTCAGTGTCAGATATTGGAAGAGAGGGAAGGAAAGTGACCCAGATCACACAGTTTCCTGATCTAAAGAAGCTTGAACCGTGTGCCTGCCATGTGCTCCACTGTACCCACCCTATAGCCCTTTCTTCATCATGTAGTCATTCCTTCTTCACATCCTTGCCCTTCAACCCCACCTTCCTTTGGATATCCACTCTTATGGCAGAAACACAAACCCATCATTCCACGAATACTGGAGTGGATCTATATTAACCATCCTTAATGTGACCGGCACTGATCTTGGCATGGAAGTAATTATCTGTTTACTTAGCCCCAACCAAGGCTTAAGCCCCAGCCACTCTATGGCCAGGGATGAGGTCAGGGCTGGCCAGATGCATAGGAAACATATGATACAAGGGAAGTATACATGTCTGCATCTGCCAGGTTGGAAAACAGGCCATCCTTTTAGCCTGCCTGACATAACAATGCTTTTCCTTTTTTCTCTTTGTTTGGAACAGAGAATCATAGAATTCCCTGTGTTGGAAAGGCTCTCATGGGTCACATAATCCAGCCCTTCCCACCTGATAACAGGAACTACACTGCGGCTTCACTTATGCTGCTCATCCAACTTCTCCTTGAACACCCCTCACCCCCACCCAGATATAAGCTAACTTGCTATTTTACATGGACGACTCACTCCATTTATGGAAAGCTTTAATGTTGGGCAATTCATATAATTCTCTAGCAAGGTTGATCTGATTTCCGAAAACTCCCATCCATGGGTCCCATTGCTACCTTTGGGGTGCCAAAAGTTCTAATCCCTCTTCTAATCATAGTCCTTCAAATAGATGAAGGTAGATAAGATATAATTCTTAGCCTTTTCTTCCTCAGACTGAGCTTGCCCAGTTTGTTCCAGTTCTGCAATTATGTTGGTACTCTTGGTAATGTCAGTCTCACGTGTAGGGCAGACTTGAGTGACTAAGTGAATAATGAGCTTTTACCATGTGCCAACTCTCTTCAAAGACATTATCTCATTCAATTCTGTGTCCAGCCTGTGAGATAAGAATACTTTCCATTTTATAGAGGAAAAAACTGTAGCTCATTAGGTTGAGTGTTTAGGCCAAGGTTGAATAGTTAGAAATTGACAGAACTGGCCCATTAGCCTGAGCCTTTTACCAAACACACATACATTATTCTTTTCCTTGACATAGGAGTTTCACCAGGTCAAGGATGATACAAGACATCCAGGATGAAGGGCTTCTCATCTTAACTAAATAGGAATATTGAAAACAGGTGATGTGTATTTCTACAGTCTCAAGTCTTACTTGCTAGAACCCTTTTCTTCCTCTGCTTCTCCCTAACCTGATTCTGGCTATAGGTTGTAACAAGATATGGGGCAACCTTTCCATTTCTGCAGATAGAGAAACAGAGCACTGAGACTGATGGTTTCTGTCCATGTTGAGTCAGGGACACAGTGTTGAAATTAGAATCAAATCTCCAACTCTCAAAGACAATTTTTTTTTTTTGTATACATAAACAGAAATTGCTAATTTCACACGTGGATGTTTAGAGCGGCAAATACTGGAGACATTTGTCACTTTTCCATAATATCTTTGGAATACAGGAGCCCTCTGGTGGCCAGAATAGCAGGAAGGTGTCCTTGGGAAAGGCAGTCTGAGATTTCCTGCCATTACTTCCCTTTAGTGATCTCTGGCCTCATTTTGAGGTTGCTCCTTTGCCATTTATCTTCTTTCTGCCTATTTTCATAGAGGGTGACTTGATTTTTGCACATCCTTCCTTCTCCTTTTCCCCTCGAGTTCCTCTCTGCACCTTTCCCTTCAACCCCAGCTGTCACCACCACCACCCCCCATACCCCTGGAATCTTTCCTTGCAATCTTTGGCCTCAGAGGACCCTTTCTGAAATCTGGCCAGTTCCCCTGTGGCAGGTGCTGAGCGACAGCTGCTGTCTTTGCTGCTGCTTCAGTAGTGTGGAATTCAAATCCCTTGTGGGTGTTTACAGCCTGCAGATGGATTAACTAATGATGCCTGTTCATCAACAGGCATTTGCAGCATCCTGCTAAGCACATGGAAGATGCTGATCATCACCCACAACCAAGCTTTCTTAGAAGAACAGATGAGGTTCCTCTCCCTTACACACAAGGAGCTGACTGCATATTATCAGGTCCCTGAAGTTGGCCAACTGTCCAGAGCCTGGGTATTCTAAGCTTCTGGCTATAGCTCTAATTGTGCAGAAGTCGGCTTTCCTCACTGTACCTTGCATGGAATCGTCCGTCTTCTGTAAGCTCATGCCACACAACAGCCAATGGCAAATGAAGACTCACAAAATTGCTACTGCACTGTAGATAATTGAGAATTGACCATCGATCCAGAGACAGAAGCTATAGTGGTGGCTTTGGTAAACCTCCATGAACCACGCAAGGGGAAAGAATGCCAAGATAGGGTGAGGCAGAAACTTTGGTTAAGATTCTGGCTTTTAGTGCAATAAGGTGATGGGACAGTATAACAGTTAGAAAGCAAGTTGCATTCTCAAGAAAAAAAATCTCCCATAAAATGAGCTGGTGACTTTATCATATTATGATGCTTAACAATTAGTGGCTTAAATCGTAGGGCAATCAGTGAGATAGACCAACTAGTTATCCTTACTCCAGAGACAACCAGAAGAGCATCCAGAATATGCTGCAAGAGGGTAGCCAGGATTGAATTTAGAAGTAGTGTTTCTGGGGGTGCCTGGGTGGCTCAGTCAGTTAAGTGTCCAACTTTTGATTTCAGCTCGGGTCATGATCTCAGAGTCATGAGATTGAGTCCCATGTCAGGCTCCACACTGAACGTGGAGCCTGCTTAAGATTCTCTCTCTCTCTCTCTCTCTCTCTCTCTCTGCCTTTCTCTCTCTCTCTCTCTCTCTCTCTCTCTCTCTCTCTCTGTCTCTCTCTCTCTCTCAAATAAATACAAAAACAAAAAAGAAATAGTGTTTCTGGCCTTTTAGGAGGTGAAGCAGGAGGAGGAATCTGGGAAGATCATAAAGTTTAGAGCTGTAGGTTTGTATAATTTGCAGAAGAAATGGCTAGAGAGAGTGGACATGGTTACAGAGGGCATAGTTAATCCAGTCCAGCTCACAGAGGGATTGTGTAGTAGTGACAAAATGCAGCAGGTTTCTACTTCCACTACCTTCCTGGCAAAAGGGAGTGGCCATTGCATGAAGCATAATGAATTTAGTCTTCTAACTATGATGATTAGTATAGCATTGGAAAGTGTCACCTGAGAGGCTGCAGAAGTCTCTTCTTTAGATTTTAAGAAAGTGTAGATACATCTTTATGGAAGCCTGTAGGTGCATATGGGTGAAGTCCTACCTCAAGGATGGCCTCAGGGGATGTTCTCCCAACACCTGTCACTCTAGAATCTCCTTAGGTTTCTTGTTTCCCAACATTTTTATGGATTTTGTAAGTACATCAAGTCTAGGGGTTTGGAGTGAAAGGGTATTGCTGGAGTGGGTGCTAAATCTGTCATCTTAGTCCAATTTCTCTCAGCGGGCTGCCTCCTTGCCCTTTCTCACCTCCCGCCAAACCACAGATACTCCCCTGCCTTTCAGCTTCTACCCCAACTTACAGAACTCACTATGACTTTGTCATTCCACCAGGAACCCTTGCAATGAAGCCAGTACATGGTTTGTTTAATGTTTCCCTTGGTTCAGTGTATGTGCACTCACCATGGTGTCCTTTTTAATAGAGCTCCCTGCATTGATGTGGTCAGGTCTCTCTTCTCACACTAAGCTGTGGGCAAAGAGCCTGAACCATGTCTATTTAATGTACTTTGTTTAGCAGCACAGTCCAAAGACAGGTGCTAAATAAATTATTTTTATAGTGATTCCGATGGTATAATGAAAAGCATACGAGATGGGAAGTTAGAAGATCTAGTTTAGTCCTTGCCTGCCACCAATTAGCCATGTGACCTGGAATATCTCACCGTGTTTCTCCAGGCCTCAGTTTCTACGTTTATTCAAGGAGGAGATGTGGACCAGATAACCTTGAAGAGCACCTCCAACTATAAACATTTCTACTTCCACAATGGTGCTCCCCTCCAAAAGCCTACAGACTCCTCAGGGGCAGGGGAGGGAGAGCCTCGCCTGTGGTGTTCCCAGAGTGCTTAGCCAGACTCTGGCCCTTGGAGGCCGAGGTGGTGGGGTGCAGAGTAAGGGGTAGTCAAATATCTGTTGGTAGATTCTTCATATCCAGTCACTTTCCAGGAGAAAGTTAATGGTACCACGGGAGTGAGAGGCACTGAAAAGAGACTGGGGAGATTGGTTTTCCTTCCAGCATCACCTCTTCCTGCATGCGTACTGCGCGTCCCGTTCTTTGCCTCTG